TCAAAGGTTAGAGCACCATGGCACTTCTGCTGTCAAGGGTTAGGCACCATAGCACTCCTGTTGTCAAAAGGTTGAGGCACCATGGCACTCCTGCTGTCAAAGGGTTAGGCACCATGGCACTCCTGTTGTCAAAGGTTAGGCACCATGGCACTCCTGTTGTCAGGTTAGGCACCATGGCACTCTGCTGTCAAGGGTTGAGCACCATGGCACTCCTGCTGTCAAGGGTTGAGCACCATGGCACTCCTGTTGTCAAGGGTTAGGCACCATGGCACTCCTGCTGTCAAGGGTTAGGCACCATGGCACTCCTGCTGTCAAAGGTTAGGCACCATGGCACTCCTGTTGTCAAGGTTAGGCACCATGGCACTCCTGTTGTCAAGGGTTAGGCACCATGGCACTCCCCTGTCATCAAGGGTTAGGCACCATGGCACTCCTGTTGTCAAAGGGTTGGCACCATGGCACTCCTGTTGTCCTTGTCAAAGGGTTAGGCACCATGGCACTCCTGTTGTTGTCAAGGGTTAGGCACCATGGCACTCCTGCTGTCAAAGGGTTAGGCACCATGGCACTCTGTTGTTGTCAAGGTTAGGCACCATGGCACTCCTGTTGTCAAGGTTAGGCACCATGGCACTTCCGCTGTCAAGGGTTGAGCTCCATGGCACTCCTGTTGTCAAAGGGTTAGGCACCATGGCACTTCGCTGTCAAGGGTTAGGCACCATGGCACTCCTGTTGTCAAGGTTAGGCACCATGGCACTCCTGTTGTCAAGGGTTAGGCACCATGGCACTTCCTGTTGTCAAGGGTTAGGCACCATGGCACTCCTGTTGTCAAGGGTTAGGCACCATGGCACTCCTGTTTGTCAAGGGTTGGCACCATGGCACTCCTGCTGTCAAAGGTTGAGCACCATGGCACTTCCGCTGTCAAGGTTAGGCACCATGGCACTCCTGTTGTCAAAGGGTTAGGCACCATGGCACTCCTGTTGTCAAGGTTAGGCACCATGCCCTTCGCTGTCAAGGTTAGGACCATGGCACTCCTGTTGTCAAGGTTAGGCACCATGCACTTCTGCTGTCAGGTTAGGCACCATGGCACTCCTGTTGTCAAAGTTGAGCACCATGGCACTCCTGTTGTCAAGGTTAGGCACCATGGCACTCCTGTTGTCCAAGGTTGAGCACCATGGCACTTCCGCTGTCAAGGGTAAGCACCAGCACTCTTGTTGTCAAAGAGTTAGCATAGCACTCCTGTTGTCAAAGGTTAAGCACCATGGCACTCCTGTTGTCAAGTTAGGCACCATGGCACTTCCTGTGTCAAGGGTTAGGCACCATGGCACTCCTGTTGTCAAAGGTTAGGCACCATGGCACTCCTGTTGTCAAGGTTAGGCACCATGGCACTCCTGTTGTCAAGGGTTGGCACCATGGCCTCCTGTTGTCAAGGTTAGGCTCCATGGCACTCCTGTTGTCAAGAGTTGATCCATAGCACTCCTGTTGTCAAGGTTGAGCACCATGGCACTCCTGTTGTGTCAAGGTTAGGGTCCATGGCACTCCTGTTGTCAAGGTTAGGCTCATGGCCTCCTGTTGTCAGGTTAGGCACCATGGCACTCCTGTTGTCAAGGTTAGGCACCATGGCACTCCTGTTGTCAAAGGAGGTTGGGCACCATGGCACTCCTGTTGTGCAAGTTAGGCTCCATGGCACTCCTGTTGTCAAAGTTAGGCACCATGGCACTCCTGTTGTCAGGTTGGCACCCTCCTGTTGTCAAGGGTTAGGCACCATAGCCTCCTGTTTCAAGGTTAGGCACCATGGCACTCCTGTTGTCAAAGGGTTAGGCACCGTGCCTCCTGTTGTCAAGGTTAGGCACCATGGCCTCCTGTTGTCAGGTTAGGCACCATGGCACTCCTGTTGTCAAGGTTGGCTTCCTTAGCACTCCTGTTGTCAAGGGTTAGGCTCCATGGCACTCCTGTTGTCAAGAGTTAGGCTCCATGGCACTCCTGTTGTCAAGGTTGGTCCATGCTCCTGTGCAAGGGTTAGAGCACCATGGCACTCCTGTTGTCAAGAGTTAAGCACCATGGCACTCCTGCTGTCAAGTTAGCACTCCTGTTGTCAAGGTGGCACCATGGCACTTCCGCTGTCAAAGGTTGGCACCTGCCTCCTGTTGTTCAAGTTAGGCACCATGGCTCCTGCTGTCAAGTTAGGCACCACCTCCTACTATCAGGGTTATCCTGTTGTCAAGGTTAGGCACCATGGCACTTCGCTGTCAAGGTTAGGCACCATGGCACTCCTGTTGTCAAAGTTGGCCCATGGCACTCCTGTTGTCAAGGGTTAGGGTCCATGGCACTCCTGTTCAAGGTTAGGCACCATGGCACTCCTGCTTTTAAAAGGAACAGGAGTGACTGGCTGCCTCGTGTCTCTTGTCAGACAAAGTTTCGTGTGTATGTTGCAGGAACTCGAAAAACACTAATGCAGTTTGATCGTGCAACAGAGAAACAATTGCTAGAGGGACAGGGGACGGTGGATGGAGGTTAGGGAAAGAGAGGTGAGGAGGATGATAGGGGCGTAGGGCAGTAGATGAGGAAGATAGGGCAGTAGATGAGGAAGATAGAGCAGTAGATGAGAGATAGGGTAAGTAAGGCGTAGATGAGGAAGATATGGTGTAGGGCAGTGGATGAAGGAGAATGGGAAGTAGGGCAGGTAGAAAAGTTAAAAGATAGGGAAATGAATTAAATGGATAGAGGGAAGATGAATGACTATTTGTTTTAGAGACAAAATAGTTCAGCGTTCAACACCGCACACTGGCGTTGAACCCACACACTGGCGTTGAACCCACACACTGGCGTTGAACCCACACACTGGCGTTGAATCCACACTGGCGTTGAACCCACACACTGGCGTTGAACCACACACTGGCGTTGAACCCACACACTGGCGTTGAACCCACACTGGCGTTGAACCCACACACTGGCGTTGAACCCACACATTGGCGTTGAACCCACTGGCGTTGAACACGAAGCGAAACAGAGTTGCAAGTGAATGTTACAAACGTTGGTGGTACAGCTTGCATGTTTGTGTGGCGTATCAGCGACTGAGTTAACACAGGCGGAGTTGTTCTGGTGGCAAAGAGGATGGGATAGAGACAGAGAGAGAGAGACAGAGAGGGCAGAGAGAGAGAGAGAGAGAGAGAGAGAGACAGAGGGAGAGAGAGAGAGAGAGACACAGATGGGATGAGAGAGAGAGAGAGACACAGATGGGATAGAGACAGAGAGAGAGAGACAGAGGAGAGAGACACAGATAGGATGAGAGAGAGAGAGAGAGGAGAGAGAGAGAGAGAGAGAGAGAGATCCTTAACTACTCAAAGTTACATAAAATGTCAACACTTAAGCTTCTCTCTTCATGCGTTTATCGATCACTTTCCCGCGTTCACCTGTGTTCACCCTGTTCACCTATGTTCATCTGTGTTTATCTGTTGTGTTCATCGCGTTCAACTGCGTTCACCCCATAACTTTGCCATCATTGATCTTATTGTTCACGTGTTTCCTCCTCATTCTTTGTCACTATGTTTGTTCATTTGTTCAATACGTTACTCTCTTGTGTTCACCATGTTCCCTAGTTCATCATGTTTGTTATCTTCTGTTCCCCTTTAATTCCTGTTCTCCGTATTTCCTCTTTCATTACGCTCTTCACATTTGTTCATCAAAAACCTCGTGTTCACCCCTCCCCATCAGTGAACATAGTAAACATCGTTCGTTTTGTTCTCTTTTGATCACCCGATAAATTTTGTTCATCAAATCGTTCACCTGTTCACCAACCACCACCACAAGTCCCCCTACCCGCCACCACCCACCACCCCATCCCCCCACCACTACCCCCCACCTACCACCTACCATGACCACCACCACCATTATCACCAGCCACCACTACCACCACCCTACCACATCACCCACCACCACCACTACCACCATATCTTACCACGACCACCACCATAACTATCACCACCACCAACACCTCCCCTACCAACACCTCCCCTACCACCAACACCCCCACCCACCACCACCACCCACCACCACACCCACCGTATCACCAACCACCATCACCACCCACCACCACCACAACCACCACCACCTCCCAAGCTACACATCAACATAATCAGTCATTAACACGCTATATAACAGGTCTAATCCTCATTGTTGATATTCTCATTAATCTGGCAACAACTTTTTAACCAACAATAATCTAAAGACCATTATGTACACATATATATCATCCAATGGCAACAGATCTCTACAGGACGAGTCGGCAATAAACGCCAGAAATTATCTATATATTTTATACCGGTGTTTATTGACTTACTTATTGCAGTGTGTGCAATTGATTCTCCATAGCACCAGTTTACGGTAGCCCGACCCCCAAAATGTAAACTGTATATAGTATACGTGTTACCCGGTACAGGCAGTAAACTCCGGCAAAATCCAATCCCAATCAAAATATCTTGCTGGCAATAAACACAACTCGACAATAAAGAGAACAGCGATATCGAGGTTACAACAAACAGATAGCGACACCTGTCGATGATAGCATGGCGGACGTGGAGTAGGGGGTGGTGGTGAAGAGGTGTGTGTGTTAAGCTAGGCTATGTCGAGTGGAGGGAGGGAGGGGCGAGGGAGAGAGAGAGGAGGGAGGTGTGGTGGAAGAGAGAGGAGGGAGGTGTGGTGAGGGAGGAGAGAAGGAGGGAGGTGTGGTGAGGAGAGAGAGAGAGGGAGGGAGGTGTGGTGAGGGGAAGGAGAGAGAGGAGGGAGGTGTGGTGAGGAGGGAGGAGAGAGGGTGGTGAGGAGAAGGGAGGAGGTGTGGTGAGGAGGAGGGAGGGAGGAGGTGTGGTGAGGAGGGAGGGAGGGAGGAGGTGTGGTGAGGGAGGGAGGGAGAGGTAGGCCCTGGGTGAGCTTAGGGAGGGGAGGGGGGAGCGTTGACCTGCCAGGTAGCAAGGCAACGGACGGGTGTCGCCAGTGTTGGGAGAGAGCGGGGACGGACCTGTTGGGTGTGGCGGGCCGGACGGATGGCTGGCAGGGGATAGCCTACCTATCTCCTCCCTTCCTAGTGTTGCTGCAATTGTCGCGTAGTGTTCACTGTGACGACGCACCTGCCTCCCTCCCACCTGCCTCTACTCTCTGCCATCCGGATTTCTAAGTTAACCTCCTTTTCTTGGTAACTTCCATAGCGATTAGTGAACAAGGGATCACTAGAGTGAGGACTGGAGGAGAAGTGATATGGATCTAGAGGAGGTGTGAGTGAGCGTCGCTAGTCCAGGACTCATGGAGGCTGCTGGTAGCCACGAAGGGAGCTGCTGTGTAGGAATTCTCATCGAACAGGTGAGCAGACAGACACACACACACACACACACATGCCTTCACTCAGGACGCCGGACAAGGCCTCCTCAATAATGCCCCGACACAACAAGTACAACAGAGAGGATCCCAGAGCCTTGTGAAGATGAGACTGAGTGAGCGTGTGGTCGGGGTTCCTGCAAGGGTAATTTGGGACAGCAGCAGGTCAGTGGCGGGACTATCACACGGGCCAGAGTTTACACCGTGTACAACTGAGACGCGTAGTGCTTGTGTGAGAGAGAGAGAGGGGGCTGGGAGACGCATAGTGTGTGCGTGTATGTTAGAGAATGGGAGACGCATAGTGTGTGTTATAGAATGGGAGACGCATAGTGTGTGTGATAATAGGAGACGCATAATGTGTGAGAGAATGTTAGAGTGAGCGAGAGTCACACCTCGTATGTGAAATAATAACTTAACGAGACTTCCCAAACATTTTAGTCCTGTGATTTACTTAAACTAAATATAAAACTATGTTATATTCTTCCCTTTAACCCATTGTTGTATAGGATGTTTCAAAGGTCAACAAAAGCAAAATATGTACAAAACAACAGAAACAAAGACGAGTGTAGAAAAATGACATAAAAGTTAAAATTAAAATGAGGTGAATAATGATCAATGGACTAATCTTATTTTTTTGTAATTTTGTTTTCTAATTAGTCTGTTTTTTTGACACTTTGAGCCATTTATTTCCTCTCTATAACTCGGATGGAAGTGAAGGAAATAAGTAAGTAAATATACACTGATATTATTCACTTTTGTGGGGAAATTTAAATCGATTATAGACTCTCCTAACCAACCTAGCCAAACCCTCCTTACTATACTCTACAATGAAGTGACTATCCTAGCTACAGTTATTTATCTCAGCAACTATAACTATTAACTATCCCAACAGCAGCTAACTATCCTGGAAACAATAACTATCGCAGCTACAGCTAACTATCCCAGCAACAATAACTATCCCAGCTACAGCTAACTATCCCAGACGTACTCCCAAACTATCCCTCTTAAGTCCGTGTGTATAGCTCAGTCACTCACTTAACGTGGGGGATAAAAGTTAAAAGGAGTTTCTAAACTTGTGTAAAGTGGTGAGTGTTAAGTGGTGAGTGTTAAGTGGTGAGTGGTGAGTGTTAAGTGGTGAGTGTTAAGTGGTGAGTATTAAGTGCTAAGCGTAAAGTGTTAAGTGGTGAGTGTAAATTGTTAAGTGGTGAGTGTTAAGTGGTAAGTGTAAAGTTTTAAGTGGTGAGTGTAAATTGTTAAGTGGTGAGTATTAAGTGCTAAGCGTAAAGTGTTAAGTGGTGAGTATTAAGTGCTAGGCGTAAAGTGTTAAGTGGTGAGTGTTAAGTGGTAAGTGTAAAGTTTTAAGTGGTAAGTGTTAAGTGTCGAGTGCTAAGTGTAATGTGTTAAAGTGTTAAGTATTTACCCTCAAGTTAAGTGTTCAAGTAAGGCAAGGAATCAAGTGGTCTGGTATTTTTATTTTATTTGGCTGAGTAAGTCAGTCAGTCTGATGACCTCTTATAGCTGACTGACTGAATGAAGGTATATTCTTGACACACACACACACACACACACACACACAGACAACACACACACACACACACACACACACACACCACACACACACACACACACACACACACAGACACACACACACACACACACACACACACACACACACACACACACACACACACACACACACACACACACACACACACACACACACACACACACACACACACACACACACACAATACAGAGTTAGTCAAAAAGAAATAAGTACTTTTAACAATCGTCAAAACCATCCCGTGTACGTATAGCGGACGGAATACAGACTGAACAATAGAGAAACCCGTCAAGTTTTTTAGTATAGAAAAAAAATCCATTTTTATGACAGAGCAACAGACATTCAGTATGGGCGCCAGGAGCCACAAATCCCTTTAGGATATTCCATTTTATCCCAGATATTTACCCCTTCTCAATCCCTTCACTTCTCAATCCCTTCACTTCTCAATCCCTTCACCCCTCAATCCCCTTCACCCTCAATCCTTCACCTCAATCCCTTCACTTCTCAATCCTTCACCCATCAATCCCTTACAATCCCTTCTTCTCAATCCCTTCACTTCTCAATCCCTTCACTTCTCAATCCCTTCACCCCTCAATCCCCTTCACCCCTCAATCCCCTTCACTTCTCAATCCCTTCATCCATCAATCCCTTCACCCATCAATCCCTTCACCCCTCAATCCCCTTCACTTCACAATCCCTCACCATTCCCCAACTCCTCTCTCTCCTTCCTCATCCCCCTGTAGTAGACACGTTTTACCTGTACACCTGTAAATCTTCAACCATTATGCTTGTTAGTGCAAATGCAAGATTTTTACGAGATCAAAATTCCCCATAACCCAAGCTCCCTCTTCCTCGACCCTCTCCTCCTCACCTCTCCCTCACTCACCCCCTCTCCCTCCTCACCCCTCTCCCTCACTCACCCCTCTCCCTCACTCACCCCCTCTCCCTCACTCACCCCCCCTCTCCCTCACTCACCCCCTCTCCCTCGACCCTCTCCCTCACTCACCCCTCTCCCTCCTCACCCCCTCTCCCTCACTCACCCCTCTCCCTCGACCCTCTCCTCCTCACCCCTCTCCCTCCTCACCCCTCTCCTCGACCCTCTCCCTCACTCACCCCTCTCCCTCGACCTCACTCCCTCACTCACCCCTCTCCCTCGACCCTCTCCCTCACTCACCCCCTCTCCCTCACTAGCCCCTCTCCCTCACTCACCCCTCTCCTCGACCCTCTCCCTCACTCACCCCCTCTCTCACTCACCCTCTCACTCACCCCTCTCCCTCACTCACCCCTCTCCCTCGACCCTCTCCCTCCTCACCCCTCTCCCTCGACCCTCTCCCTCACTCACCCCTCTCCCACCCCCTCTCCCTCACTCACCCCCTCTCCCTCCCACTCACCCCTCTCACCCCTCTCCCTCCCACTCACCCCTCTCCCTCACTCACCCTCCCCTCACTCACCCAAATCATCATTATTGACATTCATCTCCAGCTGAGTGTGTGTATTTTCAAATGGACATTTGATAAAATTTGTCCATTTCATCCACAGGATTCAAGAGCTGAACTAACTCAGCCTTCATGATGACATACCACAACTCTCTCTCTCTCTCTCTCTCTCTCTCTCTCTCTCTCTCTCTCTCTCTCTCTCTCCCCATTTGAACCCACGAAACAGACCCATAGTTTCAATAATACAAATATAGTGGGTTAGGTTAGGTTACAGGTCCTTAATGACAAAATGGAATCCGATTGCGTTTAGTTAGGTTTGATAACTTCATGCGTATAACAACCTCATGCGTATAACAACCTCATGCGTTCAACCTCGTCCGTATAACAACCCCACACGTATAACAACCTAGTCCGTATAACAACCCCGCACGTATAACAACCCTCACTTCTTCATGACGACTCACAACCCTTTACTTCACAACAATAACCCATTTATAGCTTAACCTTCCCCCTGTAGTGTGTGGTCCTAAAATACCTCCTCCCCCCCAACAGCCTCCTCCCCCAACAACCTCTCCCCCCAACACAGAAAAAGGAATATCCTACATGTGCGTGTGTGTGTGTGTGTGTGTGTGTGTGTGTGTGTGCGTGTGTGTGTGTGTGTGTGTGTGTGTGTGTGTGTGTGCGTGTGTGTGTGTGTGTGTTTTGTGTGTGTGTGTGTGTGTGTGTGTGTGTGTGTGTGTGCGTGTGTGTGTGTGTGTGTGTGTGTGTGTGTGTGTGTACAATAGACATACTGAATATTATAGACTCATTGCTCTTTCCAAAAACCTGCGGACTGACCAGGAACCATTCGCCAGGCAGGTACCGAGAGAGAGAGAGAGAGAGAGAGAGAAGAGAGAGGAGAGAGAGAGAGAATACTGGTAATACTGGATCGATGGACGCGTCTTACCTTGTATAGAACATTGAAAGTGATCCCAGGGTTAGGTTAGGTTAGGTTAGGTGAGAGAGAGAGAGAGAGACAGACAGTGAGAGATACAAACAGACAAATTGAGAGACGGGCTGTGACAGAGAGAGAAACAGAGAGATAAGAGAGAGAGAGAGAGACAGAGTGAGTCCCACCTATACAGTCGTGTTTTGAGGCGCTGTAACAAAAAAGCATCACATCGGCTCAAGGTTCTGTGTGGTCATTGATGTCTCCCGAAGGTCTATTTGATCGATCAACCCTGTGTAGATAGTACGTGTGTGCGTGTGTGTGTGTGTGTGTGTGTGTGTGTGTGTGTGTGTGTGTGCGTGTGTGTGTGTGTGTGTGTGTGAAGCTCATACATAGGGGGGGGGGAGGAGAGCAGGGGGGATTAAGGGATAGCCATTAAGATAAAAGGGGATTAAGGTGGTTTTGAAGAGGGATTGGATTCCTTACACAGATGAGATTAAAGGGTAAGGGAGACATGAAACCCTTAGATAGAATTATATAAGGGATTAGGTGAACATGAAACCCTTAGAATGTAAAATATGGGGATTAGAGAGAGTTGAAACCCTTTGAAACCCTTACAGAATGATCTAAGGGGATTAGAGAGAGTTGAAACCCTTTGAAACCCTTACAGAATGATCTAAGGGGATTAGAGAGAGTTGAAACCCTTAAATATGGGGGTTTAAGGGGGATAGGGGAGGGAGGTGAAGCCTAGAGGAGGGTTTGAGTCAGAGGTTTGACAGAGACCAGACATTACTGTCCACACGGCATCAAACACTGAGTGAGGTAGCCAGTGTGTGGACCAGGCCAATAACTTACTTAATTGTTTACTTGTCTAATTGTCTTATTTGTTTATTTATTTACTTACTTTTACTTATTTGTTTATTTATTTACTTATTTTCTTGTTTATTTATTTTTGACTATTTACGAAATTATAATATTTTCTGACTTGCTCATTTACTTGCTAAGATCCTACTTTCTTGCTTACTCTCTCACTTAATCAATCACTAGGTGACTTGTT